AGTGCGGTTATGGAAGTCGAATGTGTGGTTTGTCGGAGAAGCTTCTGGAGCATAAGGTAGACAGGGCTGGAGTTGTGCAAGAGACTGACTACAGATATATTGTTCGTCGAACTTGTAATCCTGGTGGACTTGTTGAGCGAGAGACATGAGTCCACACGCCGCATGCGCCTCTTAAAGATGTTACAATGGCCGCTAATCTTACAATATTCTTCTAGTCGATGTGAATGCGCAGTTACGCGAGGTCGTAGAGGGCGAGATACCGCAGCGGTGAAGTGGGCGTGACTGATGATTGCGGGGTGTTGTGGAGATGTCGAGGTCCACGGGTACTTTGAGCATTCACGAGCGCGGCGCTCTGTCATTCGCCTAATGCAGTTGACCGCTTCACAGAATCGAGCGGTGGGACGATGGAAATCGAGCCAGTACGGAGCTCTGCCGAGCTAGGTCGACGACAGCACCGATGTTGTAATTACCAAACTTGGCGGTGTGAATGACCGGCTCCAAAAAGGGAAGAGGCAAAGCTATTTCAACTATCTATACAACGCAATGGTAAGACGATGCAAGGTATCTGATCAATACGCACTATCAGTACGCTAAGTCAAAACCGATACTTGAAGTGAGTGCGGCCTTACCAGAAAATGCCACGAGATCTCTGGGAAACTATTAGCAGCCCAAAGATGGGGGGCGATGATCGCATGAACATGTACAAACACACTAGAGTATCTATCGGCGTACTTTGACTTGCGGAACGAGTATCTTGGGTAGCAGGCAAAGAAAACGCACAAGATGAACTGTCGACTTGAATCGTGCACTAACAAGACAAAGAGCAAGGATGAAGCCGAAGCCAATTGACGGAACAGCTCCAATCACATCTGTTCTGATGTGGAGAGGTGAGGGACGTTCCCGTATGTTTATAAACTAAGACAGCCCCAGCTCCTTTGACTGAGCGATGAGACTTGCGTTTGAAGCATCGCAGCACCCATGTCTTACTATACAATGGTACACGGGAGGGAAATCCCTGAGCTTTCGGATAGACCCACAGTCCTTTTCAGCCTGGAAACCACAGGGGAAAATGACTGGCTATCCGTATGGGCCAGATCGCTCGTCAGCAGTGCAAATATGTCGGGCATACGAAGGCATTACTGATAGCAAGCATATTTCCCATCAAGCAACAGCACTGCCATTCCGATACTGTGAAATGATCAACGTGGCTAGCTCAAAGAAGGCAAATAGCACATGCCGCACGGCTGTATAGGTCTACACCCCACTCACATCGCGGTTGATAAGGCCTGTGACGGCGACTCGTCAACCGTCGAGCCGAGCAGGATTGCTTGTTCGGTGCTAGTTGAGCTGGCGAGAAATGCCCTACGTCGTCTTGTTTGGCTGACGTGCCTACGGAAGCGAACGGTTATCTGCATAACATAGCTTGGCAACAAGCCATCGTGTCTAAATCACAAGCATGCGACCAGCTAAGATGTCATGGTGTGCAGAAATACAGGTACGTATGCAATCTGATGCTATGTTGTTCGCTGGACTGATAGGAGCCTCTGGAGTACTACAGGTGTCGTCGATGATGACGCTGACGTTACACAAGAAGCCCCCCAATCAGTAAATGTAGCTATAGAAATCTTCACGGCTCCAGAGAGTCCCACCCAGACAAAACTTTCGTCTCAGCTCATCACCACTGGTGAATGCGTGAAAGCTTGTCAGTGAATCCATCAACATAGTCCCAACATCGGCTAGATGCTTTACGCACTTCAATGTACCCGTGTTGGTGGAGAGTGATAACTGATACCTGGACCGATATACTCCCGGCCTCTCCAATTTACTTGATGCCATCGGGAGGCCGCAGTCGAGCGACCGTCAGCCCAGGCGACCGCAAGACCGTGGAATAGGTGAGACATGCGCAGCTCTGCCCCCGCGAATCCTCTCGGATGGCGCATGGTATCGCCCTGACAGGTCGCGTAGACTTTATCTTGCATACTCTTGCATAAGTCTGGGGAAGCGTGTACCCGCCTTCGGTGGCTACACCACCATGCTTCGTCGTGAGTGGTACAAACCGGCAACCGTACAGTACGCATATCGTGTGCGAGGACAATGTTGTCGGAAAGACGATCCCTCAGGCTCGTGTAAGGCGAGTGAGACATTTAAGCAAGGTGAGACCTCGATGAAAAAACGAGAAAGAGGTAAGAAGACTTGAGAACGGAAAGGCATTTTCTTTAGAGTCGCAGACCTATCTGATGCATGTTCACAGCTATCCACCACGCGGCTTGGCGCCCTATCTCCACAATAACTACATACCGACATGCCTGCAAGCCACCCCGATGATGCCTGTCCATCAGATCTTCGCCTTCGCCTTACCCGGTGGCAACAGCTCGACGTCCTTCCATGGCAGCCCCAAGTATTCCCACATATAGTGAAATCTGTATGGTAAATCTGTCAGCACGCCCCACAGCTCTTGACCATCGGTTGGTCGCGTTTCAATAGTTCGCATCGCATCCTGAGTATGCAGCGGTACCCCCACTTCCCGGGGTGAGCGCCTTGACTGACGTGACGATGTGCACAAAGGCCCAGCCCGCTCTATGCATAGCCTGGCATACGAGGGTGCCAGTCAAGATACGGGCAAGTGAATTTTAGTGAAGAAGACACATACCTATCACTACCAAAGAACGGCTCTTCTTCCCCCTTGGAGTTGCGTACGAAGAACCATGGGCAACCAAAAGCGCCATGGTCGAGCGCTTCCTTGGTATTGTCGTTCAGCCTCTGCTTGTACGACGGGCTATTCGCTTTGGCCATGACTTCCTTGGCTTCATCTGCTTTGAGACGCAGCTGAAGTACCTCTACAAGGATCTCTGGCTTACTGACATCCTTGCCGTTCTCCCACATAGAGTGGAAGATGTCAAAAAAGATGTTGATGAATTCCGCTCGATGCGCTTCCTTCACAGCACATAGTGCCCGCTGTGGTAGTAGTGAGAGAATAGGGAAGAAATCCGGCGACTGTAGATTAGGAAGGCCGAAGTGTTTCTTCGCTCGTGCGTTGTCATATGCGCCGTACTTTGCTTTGGCGTCGAGGGTCCAGGGTGGCTTGTTTCCTGCACTGCGGCGTCAGGACACATTCGGTATAGCTAGTACCAAACTTCCGTGTGGAGTGCATGGAAGGGGACGGGGGCTACGTACCGCTGCCGACGTTGATGCCGCCTAGGAAGACGGGTACTATACTACATCAAGTCAGTGAGTATACTTGCTTTTGATTAGAGCGTGCAGTGGTTGGTAGGGTTTCAGTTCGTGGTATTGGCTTGAGAGCCGGCATGGTAATTGGTACGCACTCAATCTCTACATTGTGGGCTTCGAGGACCTGTCTGTTTCTCTCAATATGTAGTAGAGCGTAGTATGAGTATGGCGACACTAGTCCGTAATTAGCATGTGATTCTTAGATCAGGGGAATGATAGGAGCGTACCGCAATCCAGATAGCACGTAATTTTGCTAGACATATTCGCAATGCTTCTATCCACAGGACTAGAAATCACGTTGAACCTGGCATTCGAAGACGTCGGTCGCGTCTTATTATGCGCGTTGTCGTTGGGACCGCACAAGGTCTTGGTTGCCGAGGTCTGTTAGCGTAGCTATGAGAGCTCTATCACTAATCAGGACCACGCCTCCACCTCTTGAGTCGCGAATGATGCAGATACCCCGGATCCTCGCCGCGCAATTCCTACGGACGTAAATGCAGCATGATGTGCACCTACCGAGGCACCGACAATGAGGCTTGATTACAATGCCATGTCTACTTAGGCTTTACAGTTGCCTATACTGTCAGCCGGAAGCTGCTACTCTATCTACGCGACGACATCTTTGCAATTAACTGTATCCCTGTCTCCACCATGTCCAAGTCCAACAAACAAGTCGCGCTGGTCGTCGGCGCGTCTCGGGGTATCGGTCGGCAAATCGCCATCGACCTCGCAAAAGATGGCTACGCAGGTACGCGTCACAACAGCCATAAACCTCCACAGAGCAGGAGTGCTAACAACGAGTCAGTCATCGTAGCAGCAAAGTCCACATCTGACGCTTCCAAATGCTCACCCTTCCCACCCGACCCAAACTCCTCGGCGTCCACCATCTCTACCGTCTGTCGCGAGATCCATGAGTCAGGCGGCGAAGCCACAGCCATCACCGTTGACACACGAGACTTCACAAGCATTCAACGTATGGTAGCCGAGACAATAGAGAAATACCGCCGTCTTGATGTATTAATATACAACAGCGGCGCAATATGGTGGGCAAGCGTGGCCAAAACGCCTATGAAGCGTTTCCAGCTCATGCAACGCGTGAATGTAGAGGGCTTATATGGCGTCATACAAGCCTGTCTTCCGCACTTTGAACAGAGTAGTGGAAACTGGAAAGGTCGTATTATCGTCGTCAGTCCACCGATCTACTCGCGCTTCTTCCGCGGCAAGACGGCGTATGCAATGGGCAAGGTGGGCATGTCTGTTCTCACCAAGGGACTAGCAATGGATTTCCAGAGGGAGGGAAAAAGTGACATGGCAGTTACGAGCATCTGGCCTGCGACGGCTGTTCAGAGTGCTGCAACGCAGAATATAGGAGGTGGAGATGCTAAGGATCTCAGGACTGCGCATATCTTCTCGGACGCAGTGTTACAGATGATCAAGGCGCCTGTGGAAGAGGTTAATGGCGAGTTGCTGCTTGATGAGGACTTTCTAAGGACGAAGGGTGTTAGCGATTTTGACAGGTACAATTTGGTGGAGGGGAGCAAACCAAGGAGAATTATGCCGGCAGAGTTTCCGAACTTGCGGGTCAAGGAGCACGATGACGAAGGCAGAAGAGTTGATAGTACGAAGCTTAGGGCCTCGAAGTTATGATTCTGAGAACGTTGGTCTCTGAATTGATACATTAATGCATGAAGCTTTGGGTCCTTCAACGGAATGTGACATTTCACTCCCCGAATGAATTATGATCCAGACTCAGCCATGCAGAACCAGTAATCTCAGGCGATACCGCCTTCTTCCTGTTCAACTGCATCAAGACCTTGAGCGAAGCCTTTAGCGTAACCCTCGTAGTGGCCCTGAGAACGTCCTTCATCCCGGCCCCTCTCATAACTCTGCTGATTTGTCTCGCCACGTTCTCCGGCTCCTTCTCTCTTACCGGCTGCCAATCCAATAGTGAAGCCATCGGATATAACAACGTTGTAACCTTCCCTTCTGCCATCAGCGTAACCTTGAACTCGACCAGCGGTATAGCTATTGTTCCGTGACGCTTTCTCAGCAGATGTGACCCTCTCCCTCCATATAGTTGCAGCATACACTTGACCTTCGAGGTGACCCTTTTTTATACCATCATATACTCCTGCCACGTAGCCTGCTTTGCAGCCCTCTTCTTGTGCTTTGGCACACTCAGCACGGTTATGGGGCTCCACTGTCTTCCTGACTTCAATTTAGGTTTGCTTTTTTACTTCAGCCTTTACCCTCTCCTCTTGAGTAGAAAGCCACAGCTCCTGCACAGCTTCGAGCTCGGTACCTTCTAATTCCTGAGCCTTTTGCATACGCCACTTCTCTTGCTCTTCTTCACACTTCTTCAGGGCCATTGTTCTGCTTTCGAATGCAATTAATGTCTCTTTCATCTCCAGGGTGATAGCAGCGAGCTTCTTCTCCGCCGCTATGCGTTTTTGATCGCTATCGGCCTTTTCGTTTAAGAGCTCTTGGTTGCGTTTCTCTAGCCACTGGTTCCGAGCGACAAATGGTAACAATCCTGGGAAGATATCCGATACATCGCGGCTCGGACGCGGAGGTTCGTCATGTAGAAGAGATGCTGTAGTTCCTGGAATAAATCAATGATTTGTGCTCGTAGCTTATCAATCTCTTACTGTAAGTGTTGTAACTTACCGGTGTTTGCTATGACAGTGTAGCTGGCTCCAATAGCTGATTGGGAAGCTTCATACGCTTCTAGGATGGCCAGACCAAACGCCTGGGTTTCTGGGTCGGCCATTGTGTCCCTCAATTGCGTTTGTGAAGCTTGTAGGTGAGGGAGATGGCTCAAAGAAGGAGCGCGGAAAGGTGAGGTCCTGTGATGCAGCAAGAGAGGAAGCAGCGATGCTTGGCGCGCAGACGTGCGCGCGGTGGACACGCCAACGCGTTAAACAAAAAGGCCACGCAAGCTGATGTTGATCGGAAAACATTCGCAAGACTGCAATGTCTCCAGCCGTATGCAGCTGATGGTGAGATAGTGGTAAGTCGCCACTTCCCATGTTTCCATATCTTCTAGTGTGCACGTGGTAGATCTAGTAAGTTGACAAAAGTCCACGGGTCATTTGGGACATGTGAACTGAACATACATACCACGGAACATGTTGAAGGAATCCGAAAGGAAAAGAGAAGATTGACCAGAGGAGTAGGAAATGCAGCACAACAACAGACATGGTAGAAGGTACGAGACGAAAGCACCGGAACAATGAACTGAATAGTCATGCATTAGGCTCACCCATCTCTCCTTTTCATTCAATCCATTAGACCCCCATCCCCGACAATTACTCCTTCATGATTTGCGGAGACTTCATACCCTACTACCGAGCACTCCGTCCATCAAACCATCAATATGCCAATGCCCAATAAACACCATGCTTGCGTTAAGAGAAAAACCAAATAGCAAAAAAGGGACGGTTCTACTAGTACATGGGAGCGCTTGTAGATGCAAGAATCAGCCATAGAGGGCCAGAGACGCTCGATTAGAGAGATCTTGTAGAAGGGTATAGACGCAGTAACATGTATGCCAGAACGATATATGCATATGCGAAACTCGAAACGACGTGATTACAATCTGCGAGACAGGAAATCGACGGTAAGTGCGGCTTGTGGAGATCTTGTTGTGACGATGCAGATGGAGTTTGCAGTCTTCGTCTAATACAGGCGTCCTCGGCTGGCCTGGCTTGCTCTGCTGGGCGATGTCCGGCTCCTCTCATCTTCCTCAGGCACGTCGCTCAATCTAGTAGGATGGTGATGTCTCATACCTACCCACTCGTCGCCGTAGCCATCGCCGCTGTAGTCGGGTCGGCCACCAGCGGGCTGTTGAGAAGACCCCGCGCCTGAACTGGTTGCATATCCGCCCTGAGAAGTGGCAGTTGTACCATAGTGCTGGAGATGCTCGAGCTCACGTCGGCGTGCGTCTTCTACATCGTACTCGTCTGATACTGGAGATTGAAGAGATCGGAACGGGATACGGCGACCCGAATCATCGCGTATAAAGTTCCCTCTCTCATCCAGGGCGTACTCGATGTCGGCTTCTGACTCCGCCTGAGAAGTGACGTACGACTGCTCGTCATCCGGAAGACCGGATTCGGACTCCTGGTGTAGATAGGAGGCAGGTTGTTGGTAAAAGGCTTCTGGCTGGGACATGGCCGGCTGTGTAGACCCCTGCTGTGCTTGAGATGTATAATATGGGTATTGTAGGGGAGCAGGAGCTAGCGATTCGTCCGCAACCGAAGAGCCACCAGGCCGAGATGATGCAGTCGATGCTGCGCCCGAAGGAATATACGTTCCTTGAGCTACGTGCGCAGGCTGCTCAGGTTCCCGGCGCCCATGGCGGGCGCTCTCAGTGAAGGGATCGGTGTCGGTCGGTGATTGACCTTCCTCGTACGAGTAGTGTTGTTCGATGCCCTCGCCACTACTCTGTGCACCAGCATAAGTATCATCTCCATGTCCCCTGCCTTGACGTCCCATGTTCTGCGCCATCGGCACCACCTGCACTCCGCCAACCAATGTAGGCTGGCCTTCCCTCAACGAGAATGTGCGATCGCGCTCTTCCTGTTCTCGCCTTCCAAGCTCTTCCCATGCTCGGCGTGCTTCTTCTTTCGAGATTTGTAGCTCACGCTTCATCTCAGACACAGCTCGTTCAGCATTCTTCTTCTCAGTGGCCATGCGCTCCATGTTCGCTTCAGCCTCAAGGCGAAGCTCGCGCTCTGAGTTCATTTGTTCAGTTAATTGCGCTTCGCGCTCCTGGGCCCTCTCCTGGTCCTGGCGATGTTCGTAGAACCATCTCTGAAATTTTCGTTCGGAAGATGCGCGCAAGCGTTGAAGCTCGACGACAGCATGGAAGAGGTTAGCACCAGCTGCCGAAAGATCAGTGATTTGCCGTGACATTTGCTGTGCCAGTGGCTCTCTGCGGACTTCATCGGTGTTTTGCTCAAGTCGCCGTATCCAGTAAGAGGTAAGGCCCTCCCAATGTGAAGATAGGGTTTCCCAGCGCTCGAACGCATGTGGAAAGTTGGATGTTGTTGACTCCCGAGCTTGTCCAGTGGACGAACCCGGCGGAGGCGGTGGACGTGCTGCAGCAGTTGAGGGGCCTGCTTGTGATGAAGCTGTGGCGCCGGAAGGTCGCCTGGCGTGGCCTGAGCCAGCTGGTCTTCTGCTTTGTTCTGCTGTCGTTGGCAGACCTAGATTCGCCTGAGTGGGTCGAGACGGTGTTTGTGAGGCTGCTCGAGGTCTCGATTGCGATGCGCCTGTTGTGGTCTCTTGTGCTTCGTTCATGGTATTTTGTGATGGGATTGGCCTCTCTGGTTGACGCGGCACTCCGCCCGAGGAGGTCGGGTATTGTACGTATTGGTCGCCAGATCTTAGAGGGGCTGATTGGGGCTGCCTCTGGGTCCCAGGCTCAGTTGTTGGTGTTCCAGCTACACCAGAAACAGCTTGAGCTCTTCTTTCTGCGCTGGCTCGCCTGCGCTCCTCCTCGGCGGCCTTCCTTTGTTCCTCCACTTCAGCCCGTTGTCGTCTAGCATTCATGATCTGCGTTGGCGTACGTATGTTGGACCGATCGACAGGCACGGGACCGCCAGTTGTACGGGCCCCGCCGTTGGCAGCGCGGCCACTCGACAGATCGGACATGAGGGCGTTCTCTTCGACCAGATCCGGTGTGAAAGGATGTGGAAGTCGGAGTCCCTCTTCGAGCACGAAGCGTATTGCCGAAGCAGTACGTCGACTGATGCGAAGAGCGGAATGAGGCTCAGCGTAGGGGGTTGAGTGAGGGCGAGGTGTCTCGAAGCGAACGCGCTGCTGTTGGCTCGGATCGACTGATCTGGCGCGCTCGAAGTTGGGCGTACGGCGAAGGCTGTTCGCGACGCTGCCAGTCGAACTTGATGCTCTCGAGCGATTGTGCTGCGTGCGGTAGAAGGCGTCGGCTTGCTCCTGGCGTAGCTGGAGGGAGGTTCGGTATTCGAACAGTGGCGCTGGGCCGTCGCGGTCGTGGTCTCGTGAAGATGTGTGCTGGAAGGGTAATATGTTTGCGAGCTCTGGTGGATCGCTGGACGTCACTGTGAGTCCAGGGAGTGTTACTCAGGCTCAATTGCCCTTGCGCCGTCGAGGGCACCCGACTGGGTTGGAGGAGATACCCAGCGGCTGGGTCTCTGGGGATAAGCTAAGCAGCGCGCGACGGCGTGCTTATGTTGGAATACACGAAAGCTGGCTGGTGAGTATAATGTTAGATACAGAGACTGCGGAAGGGCTAGCAGAGGAGCCATTGCTGCGGTGCGCCCCAGCAGATCCACGCGTGAGGTAGGGTGGTTGGGAAGAGGTGAAGGGCTGGGAAGGTGGCTGGGAGGCTTCGTGAAATCGACTTACACCTCTCACCGACACTCGCATAGAACAGCCAATGTGCGTGTCTGTATGCGCGATGGGCGAAGACCTATGCGCTGTGCTGTTGTCGTGGTGCTAGTCGTTGTCCAATGCCTCGAGTTCTGCTGTCAACGCCGAAGCAGACGTCACTGGACGGAAAGCTGTCCCTCAGCCCCAGCGCTCGGAAGCGCGGCGCCTGCTGCAACGCGCGGGCGGGAAGTAAAGAGTGACTGGAGAGACAGAGGGTATCGTATGAATATGCATTGAAGTCGCACGGCCTGGCAATCGCGGACCTGTCGTAGCGCTCTTGGGGCGCGAGCGGAGGTTCACCCGGGAAGCAAATACGACAAATGCTGATATTTGCTCATGTGGAGTCGCACTGACCGACGTGCAGCGAGATGCATGCAAGCGACTGCTATGAGGCCGGGATAGCAGACGTAGAGTTGGTGACGGCTACGATCGATTGCCAGCGTGCCAGCTCATCGTGCTTGTTCTGCTAACCTGGCATGGGGGCCAAGGTACAGCGCGAACCGGAAAGCGGAAAGCCCGTCGCCGTCATGACCGGCCGAACGAAGCAAGGCAGGAGAAGCCAGCAGTTCAGGATTGATTCTCAGGAAGACATGTAGTTGGAGATTCATTTGGCATACGGCCTCTCTCACTGCTCCTCATCGCGGTTACCTCATCGCACCTGCCCACCGAGATGCGCCTGCCAATCAGCGGGCCATGATGCGACTTTGTGAAGAAGGAGCGGCCCGCCTCCAGCGGGTCAACACGTCACGGCATCTGCCCACGAGTCTTGTGCCCCTTCAACCCAACGACAACTCGCTGTATTAGTTTCATCTCAAGACCTGTGTCGCAACAACTCTCATCATGAAAAGTCGCTCATCGTCGTGTACAGCCAACATAGAAGACGTTTGACGTCGACCCCTGCATCCTGCATATATAGCATGCAACTCCCAGCCTCGCCTATGCGCAAGACCCACGATCCTGCAGCAACGGACCAACAAGGAAACATGCTGCAGACGTAACGTCTGCTAGACCCGCTGACGACTTGTCATCGCCAGACGTCCCTCCGTTCGTGATCTCCTGGAGACAAACACATCGCGCACACCGCCTCACAACACGAATCGCAAGCACGTCGGACCAAGGCGGCAGCGCGAGATCTACTGCAATGGCGCCGAGATGTCAGCAACGAAGAAGTAGCACCGATATAACATGGATTTAGAATGTGTTTATTCGTGTCGATCCTAGGAAAGGGCCAGACTCGGGAGTGAGACCTAGCTACAAGGGTATTCCTGAATGTTCTTTTCCAAAGCCTCCAAGTGCCAAAAGCTCCCGTGTCGTGATATCGTAGTTTCTCGTCTCTCGGCCATCCGCCATCCGCCATGCGTCATCTACGCGTTCCTACTAAATCGAAGTGAGGATGTCTGGATGAGACTCAATTGGCATTGCTAGCAGTCCTTTCCATGTCTCCTCACTCCCCTTTGTCAGCCCTCTAATAAGAACTATGTCAAAAGCAAGCAAAATGCTGAGAAGGACCGGACGAATTTCAGGAAGCAGCGCCGGAATGAGAACCAGAACCAGACAGCCAATCCCAGGATCGCCTGATTTTGTGCTTGAAGCTGTTTTTCGCGGCTGACATAGAGTTGTTGGGGGCTTCATCATTGTCCAAGGGTACGACCTGGTCGTAACTGCTATCATTGGAGACAACCGAGTCTGTAGTGGTCGCACTGTCGACAGGTATCAGGCTCTCGCCAATCGGGGAAGTTCCAACCGCAGCAGGTACCGCAGGCATCTTAGGTGAGCTTCGGGCGGTCGAGGGCACTACAGGCGTCGTGATATTGGAACCGCAGGTCGATGCATTTGACCACACACCCAACGAGGATTCCCCACTAGTTTCAGGAACGGACAGCGGATGAGCTGAGAAATAACCGTCATCTTTGTTGGCGCCATCCAAGGCCTCGCCAAGATCCTTCATGTGGAGGGACTCTTTGGTCAGCGGCATTTGTGAGAATACTGAGGAATATTCTTCGGCCGGAGTTGAGAGACCTGCCTCCTGAGAGACGACATTGCCTTGGTTGCTGCCTACAAGTTGATGTACGAAGATTAGTATCTGTCTTAGATGCGAATCGACCAGTGTTATCACTAACGCTGGTCACCACGGTCGTCGAAAACTCCCGTCCAATTCGGCCACCGGATCAAGCAATGGGATGTCGCGTTATTGACCATCTTGGCCCACCTATCTACGTTTTGGTGGGTGAAATTAATTCCTGTCTCCTATGTAGATTGTATAGGGACATTGCTTACTGTGTGGAGTACGAGGAGTCTTCGGAGCGCGTAGGCCGCTATCGATGCAGTCCTTGCCGCAAGTCAACAGTGCGATCCGGGAGAGCTCTTGCTCGAAGGGCAGGTAATCGACAACGAAACCGTCAAGCTTGAGGCACCTTATTGAACGAGTCAGTCTTTGTGATGTAGGAGGAGGGTTCTGTTCAGAGTTTGAGCAAAAGGATATTTTGTCTCCAGGTTTGGCCCACGGCCAAAATACCCAGCGATCACCACTGGGGTCTTTGTTGGGGTACAGCTCATTAATACTGAGCTTTTCCGTATGGCCCTGTCTTCTCAGCTCCACGGGATTGTTGCACGTACCATAGTGATAGCGGCCTGGCCTCCTCCAAGCCTGCGGCGATACGTCCTTTGCGCATGCTGAAGTCGTCGAGATACTCACCAGTGCCGAAGGCATAGTGTAAGACTCCTTTTCCGTCAACGCCCCTGGAAAATATTAGTGGAAATGTTCCTGTACTGAGCACTGGTCGAAATCCTGCGCGCAGTGACTCACTTGTACTCCTTCTCTTTGGAATCTGCTTTTGGAACAGTCAATCCACAGACGTCGTCAGCTTTGTGCCAGTGGTCTTGACGCACGATTGGAGGTGCTGCCATGTTAAGATCTAGGACGCGCATGCCAGTCGTGGACGTGTTGCGAAAGACAGTTTCCCAGTAGACTGACTGGAGAGAGTCGTGCATACCGAACAGTCGAAGCTCCTCAAGCTCTGTCTGCTGGACGAGGGGTCTCATCTCTGCTGGGGTGATGTATGACTTATACTCGTTCGTGCCATCCTGCTGGAGGCGAACAGGCTGACCAAGGTCTAGGATAAGCCTCGTAAGCGACGTGGACAGCTTCTCCCAGATGACAGCCATGAACGGCAAGCCGGAGATCCAACTAGGACTCATTAGCGAACAAGCAAGCGCAGCAAGAATATACACACACGTCAATTCTTTGAGCGCAGGCATCTGTTGAACGAGCTTCGCGATTTGCTCGCCCGCATCGTGCCATTCTTGTTCAGGCTTGGTGTGAGGGTGCGGCTAGTATAGCATTAGCTTCGTGTTCTTGCTCGAACCGGGAATGAACTAAAGTTCTGCAAGTATGATAACAACAATTACATCGAACATCTTCAAGGTACACTTTTCATATCCAACACAGCTGACTCTTACCTCGTTAGCATATTGCTTCTGCTCTTCAAGTATGGTGTTTTTTTCGTCATCTTTCTTCTGTGGGGTTGGCATCCACTCGCCGACGACGTAGAGCTTGGTCACTGGAGCAGAATGGTCGTAGGCATTGATGAGATAATCATCGACCTGCTCGACAACGTGCTCCAGCGAAGAGACTACATTGCCGTTTTTGTCTTGACTGACGTCGAGTACGAAGCAGTCTTTCGTAGCGCGGTCAGCAGTAAGCGCCTTCTCGAGGATATAGGGACCTAGGTTATCCTTAAGTTCTGCCATAGTCGCGACGCGCAGTTGTGTGATTGGGTGGTTGGTCGGTTGGTTGGTTGGTTGTAGTTGGCGGTGTCAGTGGTTCGGGAATAGGTGGGTTGAAGTTTTGATATAAGCGGTCTCGAGATTGTTGCAGTCCAGATTGTAAGTGGCGCGGAACTTGAGCAGTGAGGGGAGTGAGAAGAACGTTTGCTATAGGAAGGCGCTCATGGTGAAATTGCGACCATAAACAATGACGTGGACTCATATTGGCCCATTTGCGGAACGCGCTGAGTATTCACCGCACGGTCGCATCATTTGACTAATCTTTGGTGAAATTGCAAACGCCAGTCGCTCTATTGGCTATACAGCGGAAATACGTGATCATGGGAAAGTGCACTCAAGGAAAGTCGGAAACTGCGGGGGATGATGAATTACACTTTCTGAATTGAGTGAAGCAGACGGTTAGGAGCGACTATTTACATGCGCAAGTGGATGACGACATGACATGAGCACCTTCGGAGACAAAGCAGATCGAGAATGACATACCAGAACATCGCATGAGACTTAATGTCCAGTTATCTCAGGCTTTGAGTAGCTAAGATCCCACATTACTGTATAGCATCAACAAAAATACTATCGATGCGCCTATATTAGTAGCCCAGGGCCGAAAGCGAGATTTCCCCTCAGTATGCATTGTGACCTATTTGGTAACTCTTATACGCTACCCGCGAGTGATGAACTCCCAAGAACCGTGGGTGCATATTCACTTGGCCTTTGACTTGGAGTTCTATACCCCCACTCTTCTCGCAGATCAAATGACCAACACACTGCTGTCCTCGAGTTCTTCAATGGCGGATGGATCTCAGCGTAGACGTCGCCGCTGTGGTTGTCATTGCAGATAGTTGCATCAGTGACTCCCAAGTGACATGCTCGACGACTGAACAGTTGTCTGATGAGATGTAGTTCCGTTCCTGAGGTTGTCAAAGCCACGTCATTGCTCTGTGTTGTTCTCATCTTCTTTACAAGTCAAACACTATAAGTAGAAGCATACGACCAGGGACTTAAGAGGAGAGGAAACGACGGCACGTTGTTCGCTACTACCATGGCTGTACGAAATTAGCAACCAGGAGTTTATATTGATGTTTACCACACCAGACGGAGTGTTGTGATCAAAGATGCGGCGTTGGCTCAGTAGATATTCGGTGTTTTTACCTAGTCATACAATGCTGAGATTAGACTTCAATTTGTGGTAGCGCTCTTTGGTATCGTCTTCATTCTTCTACACGTACAATCACCAATGGATGTAGAGCGCCATGAATCACCCAGGGCTTGAAAGACCAGTTTTGTGGATTACTCGGCACACCAAGAGATTGAATATGAAGTCTCACTTCGTATCTCAGCCTACGAGCTATATACTAAAGTCAGTTAGTCAAGTTCATCCACAGAGCCTTTAGGTGCCTGAATTCGCCCTCCAATGAGACTTCCAGATGAGGTTGGGCAGTTGGTCCAGATCTAAAATCTCGATTGAAGATCTATATTCCTTTTTGCTATCACAAGTGGGTGTGTGAAACCAGGGTTCAAGTTCAAATCGGCCTTTGAAGTTGCTTTTTCGCTCGATCTATCAGCAACATGGCAGCTTTCAGGGGTTGACAAGCCACTCGTCGTGCCTGAACCAATTGTTTAGTCTTGGTATACCCACGCGGTACGGATACACTTCGGGCCGGTTTTGATGCTCCTTGCACACGGCAAAAGCGACATAACCGGTGGAATGGCTCACCCGAAGACGGCAGTTGCTTTCGCGTAGATGTAAAAGCTCATGTCGGCTTCTGTTTCTGCACGCGACACAAGTCGGCGGTTGGGTTGTCTCCCGATACGACGGTCGTCCCGAGATGTTGCACCACTTTCGTTACTTGCACGTTTCCGAGCACATGAAGTTCTGGTTCGTGAACGCCCATCCAGATCCAGGTCCATTCGCGGCCATTCGATATGCGTGAAACCCAAGTCTATGACAAGTCTAGGCATAGTAGGTATGCTCTAGAGCTCGATGGAGGGTCTGGTGTGGATCTCCGGGTAGACCGCATCTTCGGCTCCGAAATTACAAAGCGATTGCAATGGGCTGACGCTCGGATAGTGGCGTCAAATGAGACTGGAACTGTAGAATGTGGAAGCTACGCCCGAACAAAAGTCGGTGTCGAAGGGTTTAAGCTAAGAATCGGTAGTGCATCTTGTATGCTGTAAGCCCCTGTCTATAATGAGCAAAAGAAATCATGTAAACCAGACCCTTCACCGCATGAAGGTAGACCGCTCTCCGGAGTTTTGACTTGGGATGTGGTATTGGTTTTGACCGTTGTTGGTGCCCAATACCAGCCACATAAGGCAAAATGAGGCGTTCGCTACCCCACATTACCTAGGTATCCCAAAGACGCTTAACGCTACGATTGTGGACGAATGAATATCTAAATTGACGCGCTTCGTATCCTGCCGTTTATCGAGACCGAACTAGTTCGGTGTATAATGGTGCTTTTTCGAAACGTGGCCATGCCATGCGCCTGGGAAACATTCCCGAGGAAATATGCTTCTGTTGATTATTTAACGACCAGGAAATCTATCAGGTAGGTATTTATTAGTGATGACTCCACAACTGTAGGACGTCAGTGTGGAGATGCAACAATTACAAATCTCTTAGGCTTGTCCTTTGCCTGTCGCGTGGTGATGAAACCTACCAACTTGCTAACATTTGCACGCGGTGGTGTTCTGCACGATGCAGCCTCAAGGGTCTTCAGTGGCAACGCCTAACTACTTGCAGTATCAGATTGTAACGGCACCCTGCGTGATGGACAAGGTCTACTGTGGTTGTGGGTGATCAGTATCCAGGAAGAATCTAAGATTGGCGATTCCCAAATTCCGAATTAAAGTCCAAAGTCCCTCGTGTGTTGTAGGAAGAGTCATTGCAACGTCTTTACGCTAGACCTCTTAGTCGCTGGATAAAGACCCGAGTCAAAAGCAAAATGTTGTAACATGCAGCTCTCCACCGGCATGAATCACCGAAAGATCTGAATCGTAGTCGTCGTATGTCGCCCTATCTAAATCGGGCCGTCATTGACAAATGGATAGGAAAAACCGTGAAAACGTAAAGATTTCAGAAGAAATTATTATTCGGGACGGACTTCCGAGAGGAGTAGATGTACGTGGACAATGATGCTGTGTCTTTACGCCTCATGACGTAGGTGCGCTTCGTGGGCGGAGTCAGGACCCATCTTGTCGACCATGCATCGATAAACGTGGTATAGTAGATTCCATTTGCCTCGAAAGTGCTTGTAACTGGTCGCAAGGAGACCTGGATTGATTGCTGCAGTTGCCGCAAGAGCAAGGAATATGCCTGCAAATCTAGGGTAGCCGTAAGGCGGAGGGTGGGAAATCTGACATGTGGGATCTAGGATGAGATCGGAAACACCCCCACGCTAATCTACATGGGTATACCTAAGCGCCTACCACTTGGAGTGCGACCTGACTCCTGACTGCATCACGATGCAACACATCGTAACAATTTCATGTGTTGACTGCGCCGTCAGCGTGATCATCCCGTTGTAGCGGGAGTGGCTTGTACCAGTGAGATGGACATGGGATGGCATAATTTCCGTTTGTGCATTCATAGGTTGTTGTGATGAGTCCTCCAAAGCCTGTGACGCTATGCGCGCTTGACTGGTAGTCTAAGATTGTGCAATAAATCCTTCCTCCTACACAAAAACTTTGCGTTTCGAAGAGCTCCGACGGCGGGGTTTTTGCGTTGGATGACCAAGTTGTCACGCTCGAGAACACAGTGATGGACTAATCTTGGTTCTGGATGGATCGCGCAATCTCCGCACCTAAAATTGGTCTTTGTTCGAAGCAGCCTTGTTACCCACATCGACCCATGCCGAGTAGGAAGGTGAGATTGCTCCAGTAGCTGTCGGGTGCAGATGCGGATAGCTTGAGTACACTTTGAATGCTACCCAGAGTCGATGTGGTAGTAGCTGAGTTCCGAAGTTTCACGAACCTGGGCGGGAAAAAGTGCAAGGACGCTTCCAACCCTATGAGGTAGAGCTATACATAAGAGAACGCTTGGGATGCGGATAAGGCAGTGGTGTGATTTCAAAGTGGCTAGTAGGATAGTATTCTTGATAGATTTGCTGCTACTTGAAGAGCGTGGATTGAAGTCTGAATACGATGAATTACAACAGAAGTTGTTGTGGCTGCTATCGCGGCATTTGCTGCGCAGTCTAAATAATCCTTTTGCGTGGCTAAGCGTCTGGCCGTTCATCGTCTTTGAACTGTGACTTTCAGCTTGTTATAGTATTGATATTCCGTGGGAAGTAGGATACATGCGGGCTAGGGATGCGGTGCAACGGAACTGTGGCCGTGGTATCGTCGGGTGCCGCCGGTGTTGCGCAGCGATCGTCGATAAGCAGAATCGCGATACGGACTTGTTTCCATGGCGCCGTATGAGGGTCGACATCGTGAGATAAAGGTCTCGAGCGTTTTCGCTAGGGTGGTGTGAAGATAAGATGGAATGTGCCAAACCGAAATATGCCGTCACTCAAACACTACGAGAAGAGCGGCTATCCCTCGTGCCGACATTCATCTTGCAGTCTTCTTCGTCGTCCGAGTCGAGCATGTAGTCACCGGGAAAGCCTCTTAGTCCACTTTCTAGCATCCGGAAAGTTTCTGAGTATGCCTTCGAGGGAACAGCGTCCGGAGGAATGATGAGTGAAGCGACATCCATCTTGATTGACCTGGGATAGGGAATATCTCTTGGATCTTTGACGAACCAACTGGGGTCCTGCACAGCATCGAGTTTCCTTACATGATGCGAGCCCAGGTCTGAAAACCTCTCATCCAGAATCTTGCGCAGCACGCGCTCAACTTGCTCATCTGTGGGTCCCTGTACGGCTTGTCTCTGTTCCAGTAGAAGGACGCGTTCGTGCAGCTTCCGAAAGCACAGTTCTGTTCTGCGCATGAACTCATGGCTACAGGAATAAGCATGAATG